TCTCTCTCTCTCTCTCTCTCTCTCTCTCTCTCTCTCTCTCTCTCTCTCTCTCTCTCTCTCTCTCTCTCTTTGCATGTGCGCGTGTCATTATACACATTATTTCTTTCACTGTATGTGCACTCAACTGCATAACTGAATAATATTGACACGAACAGCATTTGGACGATTGCAAGTTTACCATCAATTTATCATTAATTAATCGTTTATTCTTCGACCAAGTTATTGCCGCTTAATCGTTTAATCGTCAAGACCCAGCGCTGCTCCCGCGTTCGAATTGAATCGTTCGATTATCGAGCCCGTAATCGAGCGACACGCTATCACGCGCGCACGAGAATCAAGTGTCTCACAGCCGCAACGATATTATACGAGACGGCCGGTTACGGTACCGGCAACACTAAGACATGGCATCTGGTTTTGCGCATAATGGCTGCGTACAGTTAATTCGACCGCTCGCTCGAAAATCCTTTATGGCCGGTGAATACGTCTTATGATTACACGCGTTTCACTCGGACACAAAACAGTCCCGCAGACGCGTTACGTCTAATCATACCCAAGTCGCCGGCGTCGAGAGAACGTGTGCACCTTCGTGGTAGGTCACTACCAGGCGGACACAGACACGCGCGCGAAGTCATTGATTACCCGACGATTCCTATTATTTATTCCATTCATTTATTCCCGTCGATCGCTGACACAAATAGCTCTTCTCAATTTTCAATCAATTTTCTCCGTAACGTAATCTAGGAATACGAGCCGTGCATGAAGAAAATATTGTAGTAAAATTGTATAATAATATATAATTGTATAAAATATATAAATTGTATTATGAAGATATTACAGTTAAAATTATATTTCTTTTTACAACGTTTCTTTGTAAAATCCCCTACAAAATATTGCTGAAAGATTGCGGGAATATTACAATATTGCAGCACGTTACAAATCTTGCAGGAATATTTCAGGAATATTGTAATTGTAATATTCTATAGGAAATGTTGCAGAATATTGTTGCAATGTTATTCTGACGTTAAAGTACCGTGGAAAATCGGCCTTTAATTTATATATCTTTAGCTTTGATTAAAAATAAATCGAATCGCGCTTAATTGAATTAAGCTAAAATTTGCAAACAAACAGCCGGTAAATCTCTCCGCGTGCTTCAATCAATCAACATGGAGACAACGATCGAAAGTCACACGAAACTCGCCGGCGGTTTCTGGTATAACTACAAGGAAGGAAAGTCGGCAGTGAGACCGATAATCGGTCTAACTACGCGAAGACTACACCGACAGGAAACTGGAGCAAAGTGAAAAACATCCAATGACATTAAAGTCGCATTAGACAGACTCGATGATAGCGGAACGGCCGGATCCGGTCCATTAGTTTCCACGTATGTATTACGTACCAAAAGAGCCGACGGTGAATTTTCACGCTGTCTTCTGATTTCTTCCGATCCCGTCTTGTGAGAGAAACTCTACCGATCTCTCGCGTGTACTTCTGTATAATAGTAAATAAATGACTGGTTCTGCTGCTGGAAGCCATCGAAACATATCGCGCATGCATCGGAACGCATCCGAATAAAGAAACGCGCTGCACACACAGGAATAAGCGTTTCTTCATTATTATTATAGTATACAGAGTGAGGCAGTATATAACAATTACTGCTCTAAATATAGTCGAAATATGAGATTATGAGAGAAATTTATTTACCTCATAAATAAATCTTCAGTTATTTTCCTCAGTGTAAAGATCCCAATAAACAGTAGCTAACAGTAACATCAACGTTAATAATTGCTTATTCAACAACATTTATGTACAACATATGTTATACTAAAAACATATGTTATACATATTTAATTATTAAAATAAATATGTATTATATTTATTGATTTATGTATTATATTATATTTATTTATTAAAACATATGTTATATTGAAAAAAGATATTTAAAATTTTATTTGTAGAATATAAAGTTCATTCATAGAAAATAAACTTCCACAAAAATAAACTTTATATCCTACAGATAAATTTTCAAGTATTCTTTTTTCTCAGTGCATTATACTTATGTTGTTAAGTGAGAAATTACAATAAAGTTAATATTAGTTGATATTTATTGGGATTATTCACTCTGGGGATAACAGAGACACGCGTCGCAGGAAATGAGGACACGCTGAAAAGAAAACACGCCGCCGTCTACTTATTATACGACATGTCGAACGCAAGATCTCGCTTCGCATAACTATTCCCCGATTAGTCCAACGTCCTGCGCATCGGTTTGATTGATCATCCCTCGGCCTGCGTACACGTCCCGCGCGGGTTTTATGAAGATATTAACGTAGGGTCGTTTTCGGTAAGCGAGCGGCCGCGCCATATATATAAGACCGCGCAAAAAGGAGCAGCAGGTCGGTGCCGGTTTTGGCGCTGTCTAAGACGCCTGAGCCGACGATCGTACAACCGATAACCCGGTTAACCCCACCAGCCTGTTATTATAATATTTGCCGAGCCGAAATATAGTGATTGCTTATTTGCTCGGGCCCAATTACAGCAACGTCCGCGCGCGCGCGCACGCACGCACGCACGCATGGTCGATCTACGAAGAAGGGCCCGTGTTCTACGTGACGACGAAGGGGAATAGGTACGAGAGGAGGTGCACTTAGTCCTGAATGAGCCGACCAGCCAACCACCCACCCTTGCAGCCTGTATCCTATCTACCTGCCTCGACTCTGCGTCGGCGACGCTGTAACGATTAGGTTCGCACGATCAGATACCGCCGAGACCTGAGCGTAATGTCTATTATTGCCCGCGGCGGACGCGTTACATCCAATGCTTCAGCGATATCGACGGCTTTCCGTGAAAAATCGCGCGTTTCCCACCTCGTTAACGCGATTGGCCATAATGAGAAGCGTGAATGAGGCGTGAAGAGACGGTCGAGGCTGTCAAGAATTGCGTTCGCAGTTCTACTCGGAACGAAATTGTAACAATCGTTTGATTTTTTTTTTGTATTTTTGTTTAAGTGGAATATATACAGTATGTGTGTGCTTGTTGATAAATGATGAATAGAGTTAAGGCTTCTGAGCACTCGCTGCGGAACACTTCAGATCGCTTGATACTTGTAAAATACTTAAGATCTTGTAAAATGTTTCAAAAACTATATTTTTCCCTTGGTAATCAAAAAAATAGCTGCAAAATAAACGTAACAAAATCTGGAAGATAGGTTCAAGAGGAAGATTTCATGTCACATTAATTTTGAGACTATTTATTGACTGCCAAGGAAAAAGAATTCCAGAGCATTTTATAAGTATGCTCGAGCGATCAAAAGTGTTCTTTCGTATAGATATCATTTTTTTTTAATGATAAACAAAAATTTTGAACATGAGTTCTCTTGTTTCTGATGTCATCAATCCAGAATTCTAGGACGAGTACTCAGAAGCCTTAATATGTTTCATGAATTCTAAACTATTTTTACGTAAATAAGAATGGTTATAATACATGAAAATAAGATTTAAGTCCTCTCTTCAAGAGCACGTAGTAAAGTAAGAAAAAGACGATGGTTTCTTCGCTCGTTCACGGTTTCCATAGTTTCAAAAGGCCATCCTCGCTATAGGAACACAGTAGATTCTGATGAGGGTGATGTGCCAAGCCGATTACATCCTTTTCGTGTATCTGAGAAGGAAAGGAACATATGGTTCAATCAGGACACTCGCAAGTATAGCGACGAAATACAGATAAGTATTTACATTCAGAGTTCTCTCGAGTTTTCCCGACGATGTGGAGAAGCAGTACAACACGAGATCCTCTCCGACGCAGTAAATAAATTCGCCACGCGGGCTCACCACCGTGCACACGAAGTCACCACCTTCTCGTTTACCGCTAGAGAACGATCTAACGATTTGTCCTTGCATATTCATAATTACCACCGTATTGGAACGATTGCACACGACAAAGTGCTCTGGATTTCGGGGCAAAGAATGTATGCTGTTCACCGTGAGATCTGCGGCACCCAATGACTTGTAAGTACCTATACATTCGGTGGTCTTCAAGCTCCAGATTTTTACAGTTCCGTCCGACGAAGCGCTACAAAGTAGAAAGCAACAGAACACTAAGAACACTAAGAATGGTACCATTTATTAATATAAAAATTGAAGTAAATCGCTTCTGACGTCATCAGTCAAAAGCGGCGAGGAACCAGAAACCTCAAAGATATGGTTTTAATAATACCTGATTATATTATGACCGTCTGGAGAAAAAATTACTTCATTTACGAACGAGCCATGACCGCGGAATTCTTTGAGAGTCTTCCCTGACTTAAGACCATGTATCCTGTGTAAAAAATGTCAATGTTATTGCACATCTATATTTGTTATCTATATTTATTAGAGAGTTAATATTATCTATATTTATTAGAGAGCAGCTCTTGTTTCACCTTATAGTAGTATCAAACGAAGTAGACAAAATTTGACTATTATCTCTGCTAAACTGCAGACAGGTTACGCCCTTCGAGTGCGCCTTTTCAAATCTTCTCAAGCACTGTCCACTCTGCACTCTCCAGACTTTGATCTTGCCGTCCTGACCGCCACCCGCCAGCATCTCGCTGTCGCGGCTGAACGACATCGACAATACCGCCTGTTCCATCATCATAAAGTTGTCCTGCGCCTGATATTTCAAGTCTTTCCTGATTTTACCGGTCGTGAAGTTCCACACCTCGATGAAACCATCCACCGACCCGGTCACCAGGTATTGGCCGTCAGGCGAGAAACGCGAGCACTCCACATGCGACTTTTGGCCAAACTTGATCTGCTTCGACAGCTGAGTCGGATATTTCTCGTCCTCCTGGTCACGAACCGCCGCTTTTCCTCGGAACAGATCTATCGTAGTTCCTGGTGGTAGCAGACCCTGATGTTGCTGCCATTTTAACGCCTGTCCCAACAAAGCCAGCAATCTGCTAGAGGGTACTACAGACACTTCACCCGCAAGAGCAGTTGCTATGTATGCCCTTCGTTTTTCTTTTGTGCTTCCGTCAGGATATGCCTCGCGTGGATCAAAGTATGAACGCGCAAGCAGATTTTCTACAGAGTGAAATGTATTAAAGTGTGCACTTACACAATAATAGATTAGTTCTTTTTCAAAGAACTTCTTGAACTGGTGTAATGTAATGGTGTAATGGAGTTAAAGTACACTGGTGCAATAAGTTAAAGTGATATATAAGTGATGATAAGTTAAAGCAACATATATTTTGTTTCATTCTAACTTATTGCACCAGCGTACATCAGTTCAGAAAGTTCTTCAAAAAAGAACAGGTCTAACAATGTGTCACACGTTGTAATATACCTAAATGAATATATCTCTCAGGCTCTTGTTGCTTCATCATAATCATAGGATCAGTTTGCCTTAATAAAGAACGTGCAGCTCCTAACTCACGTAATTCAATTAACTCTAGGACAACCTGAAACATGATAAATTTTTAAATATTACAGACCAATATGAAAAATTATTTGATTACTTTCATCTTAATTCTATATCAGAATCTTAACTGAAAGAAAAGTTAAAACTATATGTATGTTACATATATATGAGTTATATATCAGAACCTTAACTTAAAGAAAAGTTAGAAAAGTTAAAAAGAATCTTTATAACTTTTCATTTTATTCATAGAATAAATTTATTTCTTAATAGAAAATGTAAAATTTCCTTTACAAGATGGTCTTTACAAATTAAATTTTTAATGAAACATGCTTTATGAAGTATATTTTGCTACATTTACCTGTTCATACAAATCTATAAGTTTCTTGTCAGGTAATTTTAATGACTGTATTGCTTTTAAAACAGTATCCCAATGACCATTATTTATGTCAGCAACAAATCCATCTACACTGTCAACTGTATTCAACGATACACCTGTTTCCTCCTATTTAAAAAAAGTAATATTAATATGTTAATGTAAAATTACAAAATATATGTATTGATTTATATATGATATATATATATATATATATATATATATATATATATATATATATATATATATATATATA